CTGTGAGTCGAACTGACTTGGCACCTGACAACAACAACGTAAACATGAACCATTTTATCTTTTCCTGATAGCTGAGTCTCCAACCATACTCTTCCAAGGTTTCTTTCCCCGTCCCTCAATTACGTCTTGGGTCCAACTTTCCAATGACTTCAGTTAGTAAACCATTGCAGTTTTAAATTTCAAGGTCAAACTGATTTAAGTCTAACCTCTCCCTCTTTCTCCCAAAGCAGGCTTCCCCTGGTTAGCCATGACCAGTAGGAAGGGACTTGGTCTGCCTTCCTTTCTGCCTCCCTCACCCCAGCACTCTCTGCCCCTGAGACACCTCCACTCCCTCCCTCTTTTAGGCTTCACTTCTTCCAATGTTGGGGACACAAAGCAAAGGCTTGGAGAGGACCCATGTTGCTTCCTCACAGATGCCTGTTTTCCCTGTGGTTGGCTAGCCTGTGGCCTGCCTGGGCTCGCCTGTGTGACACCCAGGCTCTGGTCCTCTGTCCCAATCACGTGTGGCTGCTCCCTGGCTTTGCTGCTGGGGTTCCCTTCCCTGGCAGCATCCCTCTAGGTAAACCAAAATCCAAACCCACTGTTGTTGGTCGACTCATGGCGACCCCATGTGTTCCAAAGTACAACTGTGCTACAACAAAATTCAAACTCACAAATAAAGACCAGACTTACTGGTCTGACGGAGGCTGGAGGAGCCCCCGAGACTATGGCTCCCGAACACCCTGCTAACTCAGAACTGAAGCCACTCCCAAAGCTCGCTTTTCAGACGAAGGTTAGACAGGCCTATGAAACATTTCCACACGTGAGGAATGTGCTTCTTCATTCAATCAAGTAGACGAGACCAAGTGGGCAACACCTGCCCAAAAGCAAAGCTGAGAAAGCAGGAAGGGACAGGAAACCTGGACGAATGAATGGACATGGGGAACATGGGGTGGAAAGGGGGAGAGTGCTGTCACATTGCAGGGATTGCAACCAATGTCACAAAACAATTTGTGTATAAATTTTTGAATGAGAAACTGATCTGAGCTGTAAATTTTTCAGCTATAGCACGGTCAAATTAAAAAAAAATAAAGTACAGCTGTGCTCCATAGGGTTCTCTTGGCTGTAATCTTTACAGAAGCAGATCACCAGGCCTTTCTTCCTCAGTGCCCCCGGGTGGGTTCAAACCAGCAAGCTTTTGGTTAGTGGTGGAGCACAAACCATTTGCACCACCCAGGGACCTTCCTCTTGGGTGGAGGATGGGAAAGAGCTCATGCCCAGCCTCCCTCTTCCTGGCTGGTTATTTGTCCTGCCAAACAGAGGTGGGCCTGTGCTTTGCTGTGATCCTGCTTTACGTCCTGTGGTCCACTTCACGTCCCTTCCTCCAGCTGGCCACAGGCCCTGGCCAGCCAGACCACTGTCTAAGCAGAAGTCCCAGCAGCTGGAGGGAGATGCCCATGTCTCAAGCCTGCAGCTGGTCTCATTCCTTCCCAGTAGTTCTCCCGAGGCTCCCCCTTGGTGTCCTGAAAGGGAAAGAAAGGGCGCAGGGATCGGCTCGCACTGTGAACCAGGCACTTGGGGAGGAGGTATCTGAGGACCCCCCCCCATCACCACTGCCACCACCTTGACCCTATACATCAGTGGTAGTGGTGGGGAGGGGGAGACTGGGCTGAGATGGGGTTTTAGGGTGACAGGGTCAGTTCTGCCATCTCTTCCTGAGTCCTGGGATGTCGGCCCCACTTGTTGGTGGCTCCCTTTCCCGTGCTGTGGATTAAAGCTTCCGTATGCTCAGTCAGGGGCTCTAGCCATCTATTCCTGGGCAAGGAGAGACCCTCCTGTGCAACAGGCTTTTTCCCGAAAAGATGGAAAATTAACACGGTCAAGTCGTCTTGACTGACAACCCTGCAAATGGGACTCGGCGAGGGCCTGGTGTCTGGGGGACCCTTTGCTGACACGGATCATTCAAGACAAAACGAATCCTTTCTGAGAAGCACTCACAGCAC